TTTTACAAGCCCAGTAAGCAGTACTAGTACATGTTTTGATTGTTTGGAAACTTTAGATAATAACAACATCAGGTTTAGGGGGTTTTATCATTTTAAAAGCCTGAATTGGGAACGATAAATAGTTTTGCAGGATATGTAGACAGAAAATGTGACTTGGATATATTTTCAAACATGGATAGTGTAAACAGTTATGGAAAATTTAATCTTGTACTGGATCTTTCTTGGTGAAAGTCTGCATGGGATGTCTCCCATCCAAATGTTGTGATTTTTGTTTCAGTGAATCAAGTTAAATCCGGTATAAGATTAAATTTTCTCATTATCTTAGTTTAATACAACTGGATGAATCAAGACATTCACTTTGATGTTTAGACGGCACACTTCCGAGTCTTCTTTGGCATCAACAAACTTTAAAATGCATTGCAAATTCTTGATCTGTTGCAAAGATATCCCACTTAACAAAATAACCACAACAGTGCTAGAACATGTAATGTTTTGTAAATTGTAGGTAATAAATCTACATTCTAGTGCAATAAAATGAATAAGAAAAAATATTTAAGTCTTAGGCCAGTTCTGACACTAATCATTTTTATTTTCAGGAATATCCGACAATGGCGGCAACAGAGCAAAAGCCAGCAGAACCGAGAGTCTGGGGGAGAGCCTGGGTCTGACCTCACAGCCTTGGCTGTCAAAAAGAGCATGGAGGAAGACGTGGATATAAGAGACAACACTGAGTGCAAGTTTAATGTTAATTCCTTCAAGATGGTGTATGTGGTGAACAGCGAGAGCTACCTCTACAGGCGGAACGCCTTGAAGAAAGCCAAAGAGGTAAGATCATCGCGGTAATGATTTTTATTTGTGCCTGTACATACGTAGATCATTGTGTGTCTGCCCATGTTAGTCTCTTTTAACCTCTTTTGTCGGAAATCCAACTTTTTCAGGATCATTTGGGTCATTCTTGTGAATTGTGTACCCTGGACCCCTGGCCAATTTTCCTACTTTTTCAGTGTGGACTGGTCTCATCCCTATTTAACACATCTATGATTTACCATGTTAACTGCCAAACAATATTTTTGTTTTAGTTTAAATATGCTGAATGGGATTTTTCTCTTAAGGACAATGTATGTGTTTGTATATTTATGTTGTTATCACTGTCTGTTCGTATTTTCACCAATTTTTTCTTCACTTAATGTGAGTATACTAATAAGGAGCAATGCCACACAATTAATAGGCTTCTTATTCAATTTCAATTATTTTATTTCCAGACACATAGTAAAGTATCTTTGAGGCTACACTCCAAATTCTCCAAGTTTACTGGTAGGTGGCAAGAAGTCAATGTAACCCCAGAGGCGGCAGCGTCATCCAATGACTGGCTGATGGGAGAGGTGCCAGACATGAAGCCCTGTAAAACAGTGAGACTGGACAATAACAGTCTAGACAAAGCTCCTTATTACCCCTATAACAGATACAGGGTAGAGTACAAGGAAGTGCCTAAAGCACCAGCTACAGAGTAGCACAAAGATAGCCATTGTTTTGATGTGCCAGTGATAGGAAAGACAGAGCTTGACATGGTATTGAGAGATAAAGCACGCTCAACAGACTGGTTGGTTTAGAAATGTTTTCATTCATTAACATAAACCTTGGAACAAACTACCTGATAAAGATTCATTCAGAATGAAGGATTAGGTAATTGTTAATTCCAATAGATAATTTGCTGATTCAGGTATCAATAAGATGATAGTGAATTTCTACCTACTTTTGGAGATGAGAATTCAAACGGGTTCAAGCCTTACTTTCTACCTACTTTTGGAGATGAGAATTCAAACGGGTTCAAGCCTTACAATACACTCTTTGTAACCTTTATGGCAATGCTAGCCTTTATCTGGCCTGAAATCAAAAATTGCTTTATTTATTAGGAAGGTGCATGTTTGTTGAAAGTGACTGATGTGCTTCTTTTTAACTCCTCAATATTTCAAAGTTTTAAGTGTTCTCGACCAGATTGAATGCGACCAGAAAGCTGTTGAGACAGGGGTGATGTTAATTTTTTATTCTGTGAGGTCAGGGAACACTGTACAAAGAATGCTGGCACTTGTGGATAGGTCACTAGTGGTGTACATAGTAGAGGAAGGAATTGCAGTTTAAGTTGACTACCTTGCTTCATAAGATGTAAATAAAGGCAAGGAGGCACTGAAGCCTTTCAAAACCAATATGGTAAAATTGCAATAGATTATTATTATTATTATGGATAATTCTCTGATCTAAGGCATACTTAGTACAATGTTTTTACTTAGTGAGTGAGAGTTTCACCATAAAGTTGGTAATCTCATTGTTTTTGCAACATCATGTTCATACTGTATTTATGCCTGCTATTGTAAACTTGTTTTGTGTAAAGAATTTACATACTTTGCGAGATCACTCTCCAAGGTGCAAGGTCTGCCCTTTTTCTGGAGAGAGTAGAGGCATTTATTTTTATAGAGAAAAAAATCTCTCCAAAAGTGGTTGAGGCACCAGATTGTGGTCTTGTTAGTAAAATCTGATATAGCATATGCAAATAAATGTTACCAAACTTCATTAGTTTTAGTGGTTTCTTGGGGAGGCACGTGAGAGGCAGAGAGACCATAACAGAATTAACCGGTCTTCCTTTCATGTAGGTCCGCCATATTTACGTCGCAGCCTAGCTAGCACTTGGCTCTTCTCCATCTGGATGGGGCCTATGAAAGTCTAGTGAAAAATAAATCTGTGGCCCTAGTAGAGGGTATACAGACATACAATAAGTACATAAAAAGTACAGACCAGTGAATGAAAACTCAATATAACATTTCCATTTTTTGTTCATGGAATGAAAGTCTGATGACATCATGAGGCATAAACAAACTGGAAAAAAAAGTATTGCATCCAACTCGCAGGACAGCCATTAATGTGATACAACTGTATACTTGATATACTTCGTCCTACTGATTAAGCTTATGTGTAGCATTTAAATTGGTGGTGTTAAATAAGCTTCAGTTTTCATGTTGCATAGTATTGGGTAAATGACCAGTCCTCCCAAGTTCATTCTTGCACTTGATGTTGACTGAAATAATCATTTTTAGACCTAAAACAACTAACAATAACACCTACATGACATGAATTTATTGGTCAGTTCTGGCTATATCCAACCAAAGCAGTAGTATTACTAAGAATACTTTGTACAATAATGACAATGAGCATGATACCTTTTTACCATAATAAACTTAGAGCACCTGCCATTCATAACTGTGTGTACACTATGTACCTGCACATAAAAATAATCCAATCAAGATGATTTTCAAAAGTTCTGCCCTTTTTTACCAAGCAAAACCACACTACAAGTCCAAAATAAAACAAAAATATGGTTTTGCATTTATGAGGAAATGTTTGTCAATATACATGCAAAAGAAAAAAAATCAATATTCTTTGTAAGAATAATCCGAACATGCTGACTTTTAAAAGGAATCTTTTTTAACCAAACAATGCTACTCAGTAAATTTAAGAGTAAACCAAACATATGGTTTGCCAGTTACAGGGACTGATGTTTCTGATGGAAACAGTATGGGTGATGACAAGGACAGACCAGTGATCAATATATACAGACACGTACATATAGTGGCTCTATTGAAAAATATATTTATCACTCTTTTTCAATCATAAAACAAAAAGGTTTACACTAGAGGGTGCAGATTAAACACGCTATCCAGTTAACAAGCCCAGTTCTCTTTGTAATTTCTAATTCGTTTCAGTATTGGATTGCCACTTCAATAATTCAATGCCTCACAAGTGCCCTTCATCAAGCAATGAGATTCAATTCCACGTGTAAAGATGCATTAACCACCAAGACAGAGAGTCAGAGCTATTACTTCTGAAAATGATATAACACTATTGCAAGAATACAGATAACTTAAATTTTGTGTAATCTTTTCACCTTCCTGCACTGTACTTTAACTGGGCATGTCGGTCCAAGGACAGTTAGTCAATATTCTTGCCAAATGTCTCCAAACCTTCATAAACAGTTGACTAAGGTATCCATATTTTATCTTCTGATAAGCAACACAAAACATCCTTTTTAGATCAAAAAATAAAAAATTGCAAATTTTCTTTAGAAGAAAGGAAAAACAAGGAATATCTCCAAAAAAATAGGAAAAAATAGGAACACGACACCCTATCAATAAAATATCAGTGTACACAGAGAAGAGGGACACACCATCAGAAATGCCCTCACGAGTTCTATAGACCCTCCAGAAAAAGGGGGAAAATGTGAGGTGATAAATGAAGGGAAGAGTGGGGGATGCCGTGAGGTGTACATTGGAGAAACGGAGATCCATAGTGGGAAGGGCAACAGAACACCAAAAAATCAACAAACAACAGGCACAGTAAATCATCACTGAGCCAACACAGGGACAAAAGATACCTAGTAAATATATTGTTGAAAAAAAAAAAACAAAAAAAAACAGATACTGAACCCAGAGAACAGAACCGAAAAGTCCTAGTGGTGATATATACAAAGATACAAAAATCTAGTTGAAGCAGAAACCATGGAGCCTCGTTCTCCGACCTCCATTCATCTACAGAAGTAATATAGAGGGAGGGAAGACAAACTGCACCCCTTGGTAGAGACCATTATAAAATCTGTAACTTCATTTCTTAAAGGCCTGGAGCAATACATTGAACCATTGGAGAGGTAATATTCCAATCTTTGGCTGATGTTAAATGGACCTATTATGATAAATTTGCATTATCTTGTCTGTAAATACCTTCACAAATGATGAACATCTTCCATACTGCTAACTCCATGCTAGCTTTCATTAGCTTTGAAATTTTTTATCTGCATCTTTGTCATTTTTTTTTTTTAATATTCTATTAATCAGATATGGATATAACTGTCATCACCTTAAATAGAGAACCCTTTACATTAAAAATTTGTTTGATGACACATTTAAAGAAAGAACAGTCATTTTTCTTTTTATCTTTTATCCACTTAGTCATTACTTATTAGATGTAATGTGATAATATTGAACACCATTGTTTCCAGTAACATTACTTCAATTACCTATAACAGGTAGTAAATACTGCATTCTGCTCTGCAAAATGTTTACTTTACCTTTGAATAGCATGGCACTTAACAGATGGCTTTGCTGTAAATGCTTCCGTTTATACCCGTTCTGACTTAGGCTCACTCCATCTATGTCACAAACATAACAAGCAGTTTAAAAGTTGGGTGTATCATGGAAGTAAATGGGACAGAAATGTAACAGGCTGAGAGTGTACCTAATTTCATTAATTCTAATTTCACTGGTTCTAATGAATAGAGAGATAATAACAAAAGGACCATGTGACTTATCAAAGGTGCCTGGAATTTTTGAAACCCCTCTTTTTACAAAGAAAACAGTGATTTTGGCTTTTTCACAAAACCTTACAAAATCAAGGATGTAAAATGCAATGCTGTTTTGTCATATTAAAAAAATAAAAAAAAAACTTAACTGGACTCTGTAAGATCAAATGCCGCATGTCCACATATGGTTTTGGGTCACATTTGTGGTTACTTCCTTTTGCACATTGTCTCCATCTTAAGTGAGAGTAATAAAATAATTTTTTTCAATCAAATGCACTTCACAAATCAGATCACTGGTAAATGAGTGGATTCCAATTCCTTTTTCTTGCTTGTCACTGGATGTAGCCACCCAAAGCTTTTGTAAATCACACAATATAGCCTGTGATTCAGTACATTTTTCATACATACTTCTGATTGTCCAAGGTGTGACAAGATAAGCAGTCTTGGCGTTTGCTGTCAATGGTAAAACAAAATGGGATAAACCACTTTTTTCCATCCCTATGCCTTACATATTACTGTTAAATTTTCCTTATCAAATATTTTATTTGCTCAGTGGTTGCAACACTGTGGTTTTTTAGAACACTGTGCTGAAAATGACACCTGATATGTTACATAAAAAACCTAAAATGTAGAGACACAATTGCAATAATAGTGCATGGCAATATAGGCTTTGCCTCCACATGATCCTTTTAGTTAGGAAAGTAAATATCAATATTATAAGCAATCAGAATAACCAGCCACATACAGCTGACATGAACAGACAATCTTTAACACTATAAATATATATGAGAGTGACCAATATGCAAATTTTTAGTCGTGATATCATACACCTAACTAGTACTAGAAGTACAGAGCCAAAATAATTGATAGCATTATTGAAACAAGAAAAATAACCCAATCCAACTCAATATTAGGTAATACAACAGTGTACTTACCACCAAGAATAAAGTAATTTTCTTCAATCAACAGTTAATATTGACAGCTTGTCTTTCCTACAATATTTTGTCTTTCAGAGCATCTTTATCAAGGAATGAGGCTATCCAGGTGAAATCAGTGGATAGAGCCATTTCCTGATTGAAGAGAAATTACATTATTCTTTTAACAGATGAAATTCTTCTCTGTAATTACCACCAATTTTTAAATATGCACTACTGTTACTGTAGTTCTTTAGAAAATGACTAGAACAGGGTTTCAGGTCCATGAGAGTTCTAAGACCCCATTCCATAGATTTTAGATCAATCTATCCCTGTGGGGAGTCTTACTAGATTACTGTCAGCTTAGCCAGCTTAAGCGTCTGTCCCGCCTACTAAAAGATGTAAGGGGGTAATTAACTATTGTGCGCACTCGGCTGACTGCAATTTAGCGTGAACCCCCAAGGAGTTAGGTCGATCTAAATCTAAATCTCTGGATCAATCTAAATCTCTGGGAATGCACCCCAAGTCACACCTTGAAAATGTCAGTGTTTGAAAAATGAGTAATTGACAAAATTATTTCACAATTTCAAGAAAACTAGAGGACCAGAGAGGCAATACTGCCTCCTGGGTATGTAACACCAACATGATTAGGCACAGAAAAGGGACAAGTTTGCAATATTGGCATATAATGGATGACACATGTAAATGTACCAGTACCTCAGTTTACTATTAAACCATCAAGTGGAGGGGGNGAGAAATTACATTATTCTTTTAACAGATGAAATTCTCTGTAATTACCACCAATTTTTAAATATGCACTACCCTTACTGTAGTCCTTTAGAAAATCACTAGAACAGGGTTTCAGGTCCATGGGAGTTCTAAGACCCCATTCCCATAGATTTTAGATCGATCTATCCCTGTGGGGAGTCTCACTAGATTACTGTCAGCTTAGCCGGCTTAAGCGTCTGTCCCGCCTACTAAAAGCTGTAAGGGGGTAATTAACTATGGTGCGCGCTCGGCTGACTGCAATTTAGCGTGAACCCCCAGGTAGTTAGGTCGATCTAAATCTAAATCTTTGGATCAATCTATATCTCTGGGAATGCACCCTAAGTCACACCTTGAAAATGTCAGTGTTTGAAAAATGAGAAATTGACAAAATTATTTCACAATTTCAAGAAAACTAGAGGACCAGAGAGGCAATACTGCCTCCTGGGTATGTAACACCAACTTGATTAGGCACAGAAAAGGGACAAGTTTGCAATATTGGCATATAATGGCTGTCGCGTGTAAATGTACCAGTACCTCAGTTAACTATTAAACCATCAAGTGGGGGGAGGGAGGGGGGGGGGGAGATCATCACATGGCAATACACGCCCAGTCACAATGGTGACTTTATGTCTAGACACAGTGTCTGTCCATAAAAATGGTGAATACATATCCTGTTATGGTCGTTTCAGTGTGTCCAAGTCTGGTAAATTTATGTTTAATTCTATTTTAGCATTAACTGCTTTGAAGCTGTCATAAACTATTTGTATGCAAGTTTATTTTGTAAAAGCCCATGCTAATACAGTGTCCAGCATCTGTCCCACTGAAGTTTCCAAAAACTGGAACTGATATATCAGAATATAATGTTGGGGGTATAATAGAAATATCTCAATTTACTTTATTTTATACATTTTCATGTAAGAGCTATTATTACAGTTCCTGTGTATGGCAGTGGTACGTTACAGTTAACCTTCCAGTAACACTAGTACTGTAGTTCCTCACCGGTTGTCTGATGACAAAAAAATATACGTAAATAATTAAAAAATCCTGATCATCATTTAAAAACATTTCGATAAAAAAGTTTTGATTACAAACTACAGGTCTTCTCTTTCTACTTGTTTTCTTTACATTCGCATTCTCTCAGTCTCTCTCGCTATATCACAATTATTTTATAGTAACGGCTCCCTCTCCACGCTAGGCCTGGGCCAGGAGACAATACTGGGGGCACTGCAGCTCCTCACTACTAGCACATTAGTACCCTGCAGTCCGTGCTGTCCTACACTTCTAAGAATGTGGTTCATAATGCACAATATTCACTGTAAACAACTCCAGCCTTGGCATGGCGTCTTATTCCTTCAAGTCGGTGATATCACTGGGGTAAAACTGAATCCTCTGGAATCTGGGGAATTCCCAAAATCATCATATGCAGGGATGTGATATGGCCATTTCTTGAGGAATTTCTTGAAGAATAACATTCATGACCTTTGCCTCACACATGGTGGTGGTGATGGTACAAAACTTTTGTTTTGCGCTGTGTCCTCCCGTTGTAGCTTTTACATTATTATGCTACCTACTACTACTTCACTACTTGTTCATTCTGAGACCCATTAATTGATGTATATCCATCTTTAAACAGTTTCCACTCAAGACCTATCTAGTTTCGCCAAGCACTGATATTCTGAAACCTGGATCATTCACTACTGCTTTGACTCAAGTTGCTCCCTTGTATTCTGATTTGTGAAGCACACAAGAGACACAAGAATCTTCATGTACCATGCTGTTAGTCTTCTTTTTTCCTAAAAGACTTTTTTATATACATATATATAGTATATATAGCCATTCAGAGTTTTTTTATATTGTATGGATGAAGGTCTGACAGCTCTACAAGGTACATTTTTTCCATCTGATAATAAGAACAGCGTAGAGTAGCAAAATATGTTCCAATCAAATGCTGGCTAATTTTTCATATTCTATTATACTGCAACATGGACAACGTGCTCTGCAGCTACACGATAATGCTCTTTTCTACTGTACTGGATTACAGTCGAATACTGCCGTGCATATATAAAGCTGTACAAGGCCACAGTAAATTTTTGCTCAAGGTCACAGTGAAAACTGCAAGAGGTCACAGGATCTCCAGATAAAATTGGTTCTGTATGAGGTCACAGTAAATTGACATGAGGTCACAATGATTATGTATGAGGTCACAGTGCATCTATATAAGGTCGTGGTGGAATCGGTGCAAGGTCACCATTTGAATGCATACATGCTTTGGTACTTCAGAGTCGAGGTGTCTTTGACAAAAAAAAATTGTTCACACTCTTCCTTCATTCCTAAGTTCAGAGCATTTGTGCAGTCTCCTATTTACTAGGTCTTTGACCTTTGGTCTATTAACCTTGCCGTGCTGTTTCCAGTCTTTTCCAGCCTACTGTTTTGCACCATTCTATGACATACTTGAGCAGGGTAGGCGAGGAGAGCCCATCTGAGTGAGAACTTTGTCCAGCCACTGAAGAGGACCATTTAGGTGAATCTCTATCCAGCACGGAGTGCTTGTCACTGTCTGACGCCTGAAAATGGGACAGAATTCCAGTATTTCATATACCACTATAATAGAACTCCATTTACAAGAATGTGATAGACAAATTTAAAAAAAAAAAGGATTCCCAGTAACGCATATAAGCCACTTCCACCAGTTTCTTATGCAACTAAAATTGCCAGGTCATAGAAATTAGTCCCTCATTCTGCTAAAAATAAGCTTAAAAGCTGCACCTTTTTCAAATTTTTGGTCATATATTGACCAATTTATTCACTCCTCCAGTTTATAAAAGCCCCATAAATGATGTGCAAAGATGGCAAAATCCTATGCCTATTGACATATTTTAGTTCAGAAATTTATCATAAAAACTGTACTTTTCATCTCAATCTTTATCTTCAAACTAATTTTATTGTACTCCAAATTATCACTTTACCTATACTCGGCTCCCCAGCCTTTCACAAAGCTCATCCTTATGGTACACATGCGTGTGAGTTGGTAAACAGATTCAAACCCCTGGTTAACTGACTGAGCCAGCAGGGCAGCAAACTCTTGGTTGTTGAAGATCTTCAAATTGCAACCTAACAATAATGGTAGAAGAGTTCCAGTTCAGGACTCATGGAGAAATTGAACACATAATGTGGACTATATATTATGTAAGCAAACCAAAATGCCAAGAATTCTGATAACTGAGGAAGATGAATATTAGACATATAATTTTGGTCATAAATTTTATTTTGTATGTATGCTTGTAGCCCCCCCGACTTCTTAGGACCATGTCTTCTACCCTTTACCTGGTGGTATCTTGCAGACAGTGGCAGGATGCCATCCATATCTCTGGTTACAATTAGGACTTTGCACAAATACTGCACTCTCACTGAGACATTCTGCAAACACCTCCCCTCCTATGTAGTACAATCGAACTCCTTTGCCTGTAAGAAACAAAATGGTTGGGTAAAACTTTACAGGCTACCATGCTAGTGAAGTGACTTTTGAATTGAGTGCTGCAAGCACTTTGTCGAGTAATGCATTATACCAAGATTGTCTGAGCAAAACAAAGCAAGCAGCAAAGCTGTAAAATATACAAAACATAAAAGTCACTAACGATGTACAAAATACATTATTTTGTCAATTTGATGCAATTTTACGATGTTTGGAAAAATAATCAGATCAGGCTTGCTTTCGAACTTGACCTGAATTCAAGAAATATTGATCACTCTTATAAGTTTGAAGACAATAGATCAATCGGTTTTTCACTTAATGTGTTATCTGTATTGCATATAGTATAATATAATATAATATATGCTGAAAATGCTGAAATATAGTATAAAATATGCTGAATGACTTGTCTCTACAGAAAAACTTAAACAAACCTATCCACAAAGCTTTCACACACAACCATTTTACTTAGAAAACATAGAAATGCTCACCTATATGCCGTCTTGTCATCTCCACTTGCTGTGTTCTGTTCACATTCGACAACAGACCAAGGCAGAACCGTTCGGAGTTGGAAGGATCAGTGAAACCATCCACAGTCAGTGAGGGCTGAGAGGCATGAAATGTCTCCCCAACACGTGTGTTCATCTCATAATAGGATATGGAACACCAGTGGGTGGGTTCAGTATATGTCACTGGTTCCAAATCTACATATAAAAGACAAAAAAAGGAAATACACATTGCAGATGGCACATATACAAACAAGACAGCAAAGCTTGTAAATATACAGTCACTTAATGCCCATGCAACTAATAATGCACTTGATTCTGTGCAATATGTTGCTTCCAAGAAACAAGTTGCATCATTATTTGACCTACAACTTAAGCGCAGAAGTCCATTTATTTATTTATTTATTTATTTATTTATTTATTTATTGGACTGTTTAATTTCAAGGTGGCATAGCTGGTATTTTAAATACTTGAGTCCAAAAAAATTGCTGTACAACAATGATTGCTACAAAAAGCACCATAGCCTACTATGGTTCTCTCTCCCTACTTAAATTTAAATCTACATGTATTTCATTTTATTATTTGTAAGAATTTTTGCCCCATTGAATGAATGTTGTGGGGAAGGTGTGTTGTCTTTCACTGTGTAGTATAAGTATTGCTTTAATGTTATAATGCATTAAAAAATATTAAGTAAAAACTTACCCATAGAAGGGCTGGCTGGGATCTGATCCACTCCATCTAAATGAAATAAAAGTGACAAAAATGTATAAAATACTGATGGACATGCTAGGAGCATAAGTACAGTATGGAACCCATTTTTATACTAGTGTCCATATCACACAAGTATTTTTTCATTCCCCATATTCAAAAGAAAAACAAAATTTCTCATTTGAATGTCAGAAAGGAAAAGATCATAAGTATGATATGTACAAGCCTTATAAATGAATTTGCCATTCTTGACTTGGAGTTGCAGATAAGTGATTTCCACTGCCAAATTAATGACTTAAACGGGTCTTCAATGTTAAACAGTAATTAAACAGTAATTTTTTTTCTGTCCCACAAGCACAGTAAACCAGATTGCTTCAGAGAGTGCTGTGTTTGTCTTGTTTTTTCCCTTAAAACTAATGTTTTGCCACCAAGGTTTTACGTGTAGGTTTTCTGCAAGTTTGACAAACACTTAATTTATCCATTTTGCTGGTCATGTGACCATTTCCATATCTGCACGTCCACAATACTGGGTAACAGCAGTGGGTGATCATCTTTGAAAGTCTGTCAAAATATTCTTATGCATTGGATTACAATGGGAGTGCTTTCATGTGAAAGGGGATAGATTTGTCTTATTACAACAAGTAATTTATGTTTCCAAATATTGTTGTGTATTTTAAACTTTTTAATTCTCAGCCGAAAATGACACTAAAACAGCGCTTAAATGTAGGACACAGACATACCAGTCTGTTTTACAGCTGTACATTATGGAAAAGAAAGCTCTCAGAAAAGTATTGTCATGTGTTTTTGTCATCTCAGGGATCATTTATGGCACACACACTAGAGAAAAACAAAAATTGCTCTTCCTCACAAATTTTGATGGGTGAGGAAAACGGGTTGTTGTGCATTACTATGGTTTCCATTTTAAACTTCAGTACAAAGTGAACATACACGTGAACTACACAAATCATTCAATTTCAGGATTTAAATACCTGAAATACACTCTGCTTTTCATAAAACAACAATGTGTAAGAAAATGTGAAGTTAAGTGTACTCTTCCCTGATAATTTTTGTATGTGTTTAATGTCATATTTTACCAACTTTATGAATATGAAGCAAAATACAATGTATATAATAAATGAAAGGCGTGCACACAAGAGACGATTTCATGTCATTGCTGTTAAACCGCTAATTCAGGATCGCATCTCTGTGAAGTTAACTGCACTCTTTCCTAATCATTTTTGTATGTGTTTAATGCTACATTTTTCAAAATTTATGGATATAAAGCAAAATACAATGCATATTCTAAGTGGAAAGCGTGCTCACAAGATCAGTGCCTTATTGCCCCAATGCTGTTATCCAGTATCGTGGACATGCAGATATATATAATACATTGGTTAGGTGCACATAATATTTTGATTGCAACTGGTGAATAAAATGGCACTTAGATTTTTTTCACATTAAACAAATCCATGTTGTTTAATTCAACCGGAGATGTAAGACTGGGTGGTAAATTACCCAGAGGTTTCGGCAAGTAATTCGAATTGCTTAAGAAAATCCAGCATGCTAGCAGAATTTTGAGAAAACGGTTAACCAGAATCCTCATGTGTTCAGACTACTGCAATTATTAAAATCAGGACCTAATTCACTATTTATTTGGATAAATGGCTGTAGTGTGAATGGGGTATCAGATATGTGGTTGCATCTACTCACCCATTCCTTGGCTGTTTTCATTATTGTCCCCTTCTTCACTCATGTAGCCTGGAGGAGGGGTCTCTGGAAGATATTCATTGTCATTATAATAATAATAATTATTATTATTATTTATTTACTTTATCACTGTAGTAGTACTAAATATTATATTTTTTGGGCTGTCTGAGTTTAGAATGATCCCCAGGTGAGCACCAAGAAAGGACAGATCACAGATGCACTATTACACACAAACACACACAATAGGAAAGGGCAATATTTCAGAAATTACTTCTTACAATATATACTTACAGCATATATTACATTTTAGTAAATATTTCTAACATATATATTTCACTTCAATATCTGGATGTTGACTATGTGGTTGACCTAGTTATTTCATTTTTGTAGATCTTTTTTTTATGTTAATCTGTGCAGGCACACATAATATCTATTTTGGAAATATTGCTTTTCTATCTCTTTCAGCATCTAGAAGTAGAACTAGAAGTGAAGAAAGGACAGGTCATTTCAGTGAGTCTGAATGTGCATCATAACATAGCAGAGATAACTTGGCATGACTTTAGATATACTAAAAATGCAAAAATATCCACGACAACAAGGGCAACAAAAAGCCTACCTGGTAATTGAAAAGAAGATTCGCTGACGCCTGCAGGAAAATCAATGTTTTCAGGCACTGTATTTGAGTAGTCGTCAATTGGAGGTTGAAAATCTGCTGGGATTTCTCCTGTTTGACGTGGCACAAGCACTGGCGGAAGCACTGTAAAAAAATAATAAATACACGGATTCATTCAACACATTTTTTCTATGGTTATTAACTACATGGTCAGAGAGGCAATACTTCCTCCCTGACATGTACCACCAGCTGGAAAAGGCTTTTATTGGGACAATATGACACAAAACAAGGCAGCAAAGCTTTCAAATGTACAGATATAAAGCAAAAAATAAATAAATAAATAAATAAATAAATAAGGCAGCAAAGCTGTCAAATGTACAGACAAAAAGCAGAAAATAATAATGCACAAAATAGGATACTGTCAATTCTGATGCCATAATACTTTATGCTTAAATGCAAAGTCAACATCAAACTTTAATTATGCACAACAGGTAATACTGATGAAAGTTAAAGCATAAGGCTTCAGGCCCATGAGAGTTCAAGTTCACACTTAGAAAATGCCAGAATGAGAAAAATGAAAATTTCACAAAAAATTGCATTAATTCAATAAAAAAAGATAATCCAATAGAGCTGGTTTTCTAATTTGAGCTGTATGTCAATCCTAAGAATCATTCTTGTAAGTAAAAAAAATAATAAGTAACACAGTTTTCTTTTTAGCATAACATTTGTGATGACAGTGCATCAAGTAGGCTTTTTGTCAATTTTGAAGCAATATTACTTAATGATTAACTATATAATTACCACCGATTTTTAATAATCTTCTAATAATAACACGGTCATTTTGAAATTTGATTGCCACTGGGCTTCATGCCCATGGGAGTTCCAAGTCCCACAATGAAAATGCCAATATGTGAAAGATAACAATTTCACAAAAATGTACGACAGAAAAAGAAGCCACTTAGACTGCACAGTGCTTTTCCAAACCAGGCTGCATTTTAGTCCTGTGTTTCTTTCCTGTAACTTTAAGAAGAGTAAATGACAAGGATTTTTTTAATGGTCACTATGGAGGCAGTTCCCAAAACAGGGTTTTCTTTAATTTTGATGCAATATTATATAATGCTTAACATCATAATGACCATCAATTTCAACAATAAAATTCAAGTATCAAGGACATTCAGAAAATGTGACTAGCAAAGGTCTTCACAGCCCATGGAAGTTCAAAGTCACACCTTGAAAATGTCGATATGTGAAAATTTTAATGTCCAATTTCCTCTATTCTGAGATTCTGAACATAGTGAATGATTGAATCTGACAAACTGCAATGATATGAGTTTATTTCCATTTTTAACACTTTAAAACACAATACATGATAACAGGTTTACCAACATATTCATATTATCAACAAATAATGTTGTTAAGATGTAGAACAAAAGAACACTTTGAATTATCTGATTAGTTCAATAATGAGACTGTTAACATGCCTTAGAATTGATTCTGAGAAAAAGTCACTCATATACAAAACAAGGCATAGCTTTTCAAACTCGATCTGTATTTTAGACTGTTCATTCCTGAGAATTTCAAGACGATAGGCCAATTGGTTTTCCCTGAAATGTGTTATCAGTGTTGCATGTATGCTGAAAAAAAAGGGAAAAAACATCATAACTTTTAAGAAAGAGGCCCAATCATGCTGATTTTTTAACTTAACCTGTGAATTATGAATATTCATCAGTTCTGTAAGTTTCAAGCCAAAAGGTAAAATGGTTTTCCACTTATCATGTTATCGTTGAAAGTGCACCCCAACAGCGGCAGCGACGACAGTCGCAGGCGACAGCTATATGTACATACACATCTATGTCTGTACATAAAAAAGATATACAAAATAAGTTATTTTGACAATTCTAAAACAAAATTACACGTATCATAGCAATTTTTTTTTTTAAGCACCCAAAGTCTGCTAGACATACAGAAAATGTAACTAAAACAGTAGTTTGGGGGTACTAAGGGGAACAGCTAACCATTGGTGTTTACAGGGAAAAGTACACGCTAACGACAGACACAAGTGATGGCTACAATTTACAGGTACAATCTGTCTGTACGTGACACCATTTTTGATCATAAATAGCTAGAAAAAAAATTAAAAATTACCTGGTGTTTCAACCCTCGAGTAATGGTAAGGATTCACGCAAACTTCGTCCCGCTTCAAGTGGAAAGCATACTCGCATGTGTCAATAGCTCGTAGCTCGTGGTGGTTCTGCAGGTCTGGCCACCTCCAGAGTCGTGCATAGATGACGTGTGGCAAACCCTTACGATGCGATACTTGTAAACGTCCGTCTAGGGACCTACAAGATTCACTGAGTAAATATGTGTGGGGTCAAGGTCTGGTCGACAAAGGTTGAGCAAAGATATACAAACATTCTCTACACATATTTAATGGGGACCAGATAGTTTTACTGTTCAATATTTATAATCATTTTTAATCAAATGGCCTCGTATCCTCATTAATGAAGCTCTGTACAATATCTAACATCAGTTGTTCATCATTCTCATTATCATTATTCTATTAAACATAAATCATTTGTATAATCATATAATAGTAAGGTATATGAAATTAAAGAGTCATAACTTCAAAAAATTAATGCATGCCTACCACTAATATTAAGGGATCTTTAGTCCAATTTCTCATTTTTATCTATTACAGGATGTAGCCCCAGACGGAAATAGTATAAAAGATAGATTAAAGTAATGCTGTTCCATAGTGCAGTTATGAAAAGTGCACAGTTTTACATGATGTAGGAGCCCTTCAATCTTTATTTTACCTCTCATCTCCTCAACTTGCACAATCCTGTAAGGTCAACAAAGCCATAAGTAAGATTGTTCATGGTATGTACCAATATAGTTGTTTTGATATTAAAACACCCCAAAAGAAAAACCAAAAACATATTTCTGATTGTTAGAGATATGTCAAATGATGATATATTTTTTCCCACCAGTACAAAAGAAGTTCCATGGCCAATGTAATATTTGAAAGTTTTTTTTAGGCAGGAAAAAATTTCCAACCTTTCTCTTGCACTTCATTGTGGCCACTGCCCTGTCAATTGTGTTCTTATGATTCCGCAGCGACCTAACTTATAGACAAGCGGATGAATCTTACCTTAATGGTTGGCATTACAGGAGTGGGTAAGTTGGAGAGATGATACCCTCTACCAGGGTGGCAGATATTATAGGCAGAGAACCAAATGACGGTCTTTTAACTAAAACCATATCTGTGAATATGATATCTAATGAAAAATCAATCAAATGCCATGGAAGAGGCTAGAGAGATGGAAGGTAAGACAAAGATCTGATAGCTCCTATATCACAGCGGATATGCAAGTTGGTCATCACTTACACATGTTGAGGTCTTTAATTTCCTGAGTTAGCACATGCACTACATATCCAGTGTTACATCTTGGTTTTAAAAACTTGGAGACAGTCGGCACCCTATTTTGAAATTTGGGGGACACGGATTCTTTCACCAAAATA